AGCCACACCAGCCAGGCCAGCCACACCAGCCAGAGATCTTTTAAATTTATATTCTGAATAATAGTTTTTGATGTCACTAAAATTTGGTTTTCCTAATATTTAAGTATTATATTCTTGAAAAACATGCTGTAGCAGATTTGTTAGTCACCTGCCCAACATCTACTCTCTTCTTTCTTAATAACAGAATTCCTAATTATAGTGAATAACAACCTTCCCAGTTATACATATCTTTCCAGCCTCCCTTGATAATAGGAATGACAGGTGAGATGGAAGCAGAAATTGTTGAATGAGGTGGTTCTAGAAAAGCTCTTTCAAGGAAGATGACTCAAGTTGGAGCCATGCCCCTTCGATGATGGCTGAAGCTCCAGAAGCCATCTAGAACTATCAGACACTTTAAGGATATAAGTTAGTGCCAAGAGTGGATGAAACAGCCCTGGCTGGGGGGCTCAGTTGGTTGGAGTGTCATTCCATACACCAAAAGGTTGTGGGTTCTATCCCCGGTCTGGGCATATACGGGAGGCAACTGGTCAATGTTTCTCTCTCACATCATTGTGTCTGTCTCTCTCTCCCCTTTCCTATCTATAAAATAAAATAAAAAATAAATAAAATTGTAGTCTATGAAAAAAAAAGAAACTATTCAGATAATGATGGTGATGGATACAAAATTTTAGCAGCTTTACTACCCTTCAAATAGCCATAAATTTTTGAGCTTTGTTTATTGGAATTTGGGGAAGGATTTTTAGCAAATTATAAAGATTTGCTAATTTAGTAACTAATGTTGTGATCAATCATACTGGTAAACATAGATAGAGACTTGGCTATTACTTCATGTGCCTCCTGTCCTGAAAATTTATCCTTCCCTTTGAAGAGCAGGTTTCTATACTCCTTAAGTATAATCATTCTTAGAGAAGGAATCAATAAATACTTAGAGAACCAACAGAGAGGTTTGGAAATTAGAAAATCACCCAACCTTGCATGCACTGGACCATGACGGAGAATACAAAGTGGAATTTTTTATTCATAACTCAGCTTTCAAGAGTAAATAACTCATTGGCTTTTACATAATCTTAAAACCAGACGAAGAAGGTGATTAACAAACTCAGTGTGGTCTAAATATTCACTTAGAACAATGTTAAAATCATTGCCATCAATAGTTTATGGAGAAATTTTACACTCAAGGACAAAATTGTTTTCTTGAACATGTAAGTTATACTTGATTGAAGAATGGGAAATAGATTAATTATGGCTTAGAAACTTTTTAATGCTTCTTAAATTTACAATAAATATCCTAGCTCTAGCTTTAAAGGAAATAGGTCTACATATAAATTGCTGGAACAACTTCTACACTATCAGACTTTGCAGAAGACATTTTAAAACTCATTCCCACCAAGAATTAGTCAATTTTTAGTACTCTTTATCATTTAAATGAGTTTCTGCATAAGAACAATACTGAAATTGCTCTGTAATATTGGAATTTTTCCTTTAATGAGGAGAAAACATCTTGGACATGCAATAGAATGTTTCAATCATATTTCTCCAACAGAATAAGTCCTTTCCAAAAACACCTTATAACAAGAAATAATTATTGTTATTGTATGTTTTATCTGTAAAAACTAAATGCTGTAATAGTTATTAATACAAAGTAGATTTGTAGAGAGAGTGATGCTGAACAAAAAAGAATTATCTCTTGTGAGAGTTATCTCTCTGAGTCCCCAAAGTTTACTGTAATAGGGTGGCTTACAATATATGCTATTGCCTAGGCCTGCTTTTCTTCTATGGCAAGTAGGTGGAATACTGTCCTCCAAAAAATTCATTCCCACCCAGATTCTGAGAATATGACCTTATTCAGAAGTAGGGTCTTTTCCGGTGTTATTAGTTAAGATGAGGTCATACTGGATCAGGTTGGGCTTTAATTTAATATGACTGCTATCTTCATAAAGAGGGACATTTATAAACAAAAACAAACAAACAAACAAAAAAGCAAGGAATACCTAGGGCTACCAGAAGTGGGAAGAGACAAGGAAGGATCCTTTCCTAGAGGCTTCAAAGGGAGTGTGGCCCTACCAAACACCTTGATTTTGGACTTCTAGTCTCTAGAATGAATAAGGAAACAATAAATTTCTGTTCTTTTAAGCCACCCAAGTTGTGGTAATTTGTTAACAACTGCAGATTAAGGCAGCAGGGTGTGTTGACTCAAACTGGTCCAGCAGGAGCACCTGTGGGATGAAGCTGAAGTTCCCTTCTGTGAGGCAGTGCCTGCCATGGCACTAGGGTTTCCAAATTATCCTCATGTGCCTGGTACTCTCCCAGTTTTTAGCACTGATAGTTCCATGTCCCCAGAAATCCCTACTCCTGGGCAAACCAGGGTGGTTGATCACAGTAAATAACATTCTTGCTTAGATTCTTTCCTTTCTCTGTTCTGCTCCCCCTGTTCCCCTACAGATTTTTTTAAGGAGCACTTCCTTAATAAATCACTTCATCTCATCATTTAGGCATTTTACCATCTCATATCATCACAAAAAGAAGGGGAGGACAGTACAATAAGATATTTTGAGTGAGAGAGAAAGATACCACATTCACATAACTTTTATTACATTATATTGTGATAATTGCTCTATTCTATTATTAGTTATTGTTTTTAATCTCTGACTGGGACTAATTTATAAATTAAACTTTATCATAGATATGTATGTATGTATGTATGTATGTATGTATGTATAGGGGAAAAACAGTGTTTAAAGAATTCAGTTCTTTCTGTGGTGCCAAGCATCCACTGGGAATCTTGGAACATATCTCCCACAGATAAGGGGAAGCTACAGTATTAGAAAAATGATAGCATTCTAGCCATGCCTTGTGAATTCTACACTGTCTGAATTGTATTGCTTTCTTCATCCTTTGTGGTAACAACGCACAAGGATACCAGTCATCAAAGGATGAAAGGCATCAGCCAAGACTATCTCTTATTATAGAGCTGGCAAATTGGGCACCCAAGAAACCAAATAGCTATAACAGACGGGCTAGTAACATAACCTAAATTTTATGGCCTCACCTGTGCTCTTGAATGGAATAGAGGTTTGTTTTTCCTGGGTAATTACATCTGGGGATGACTTAAGGTGCGGGGTAGTTTCCAGGCAGAAAGTTTCCCTACCTTTGGAGTAGCTGCCTGGATGTGCATTCCGAATTTGGCTGCGCTCATCATTATGGAGTGCAGGATGTTGTTCCCATCCCCAATCCAGCTAAGGGTAAGGCCTTTCAGAGAGCCATAGTGTTCCTAAAAGGCAAGAAATGGAGGAGATTATACCTGGGAAGAAATTAACTTATATGAAACAATTATTATGGTTAAAATAAAAAAATTCTTCACCCCAATTTTAATGCTTTGTTGGAATAATATCAATGTATAATCACCAAAAATAGCAAGATGTCCTAATATCTTAAATCAAGACATCATATGAACTCATATAAATACTCATATTTTCAAACTTTTCAAATCTGAATCTTTGTTGCATTCATTTATTCATTCATTCAACAAATTAAGCATTATCCACGTCTACTTTCCTTGGCCCTATAAATATAACAATGAATAAAGGAGAAAAAAATCACTGCCTTATGGAGCTTACATTAGCTGGTATAAGAAAGGGGAAATACAATGTATCTAGAAGAGTGTAACATGATAGTTGAGTATGTTTACATGTTTGTAAAGTTGGAGAACATGCTCATTATTAATCTTAACTATTTACACATATGGACATGTGTAGCTAAAGTATAAACACATGCCTTGAAATAATAAATACAGACATCAGGATAATAATTTCCTTGTGGGGTGGGAGGAAATGAGATCGGGAAGAGTTAAACAGTCAGCTGATTTAGATTCCATGCTCTTAATAAGCTGCTATTTACTCATTCAGCTCTCACTTTGAGGATCTCCTATATGAAGGTATTGCACCAGGTCATGCAGGGGACAATATGATGAATAGGACATTTCACTGTCCCTCAATGAATTTATAATCTAGTAATGATAAAGCCCAAGGGCAAAGCATTCAATTTACTGGCATATATGTAAAGCCACATTCACAAATAGCCACTTGGTATCTAACATCATTATATCATCCTTTCTGCATGAATCTTATCCACATCACCAATGAGTTTCATTTTTAGTTTAACTTCACATTTATATTCAAATGAGGAGGAATATGGACCTATCCAGTTTTCCCTGTTTCCCCAGAATAGTCCATAGACACAGAAACCATGGTTTTCAGGATTCCCAGTTGCAAAACTATGTAGAATGGCTGTGGCAAAACAAACGAGATAAATCTTTTAAAGTTATTCAAGTTCCTAAATTGGGGGTACATGGCTAAATTTGAGCCTCAATTCTATGTATTCTGCATGTCCTTAACTCCAGTCTCATCAGTTTATTAAAATGATGGAAATAGCCTTCTTCTCAGAAAGTGATTTCATAATTGGCCATTTTGAATATTGAAAGCATACTCCATCAGTTTTCACTCCCAAGCAACTCAGTCTGAAGTATGGAGGATTACATAAAGCTTTTCTGTTATGTATGTTCCAGCATTCAGGATTCATCCATTGTGTTAGATATGGGACCAAAAAGCAAAAGGATTGAAAGAACAGGGGATAAGAGAAATGCTTTTCCACCCCCTCCATGTGGAATAACAGTTTCACACACACACACACACACACACACACACACACACACACACACACACACATTGCTTTTAACAATGCCTTATTCCTTGAATAGCTAGTATACAGACATGCTAAAATTCATTACCAAAATTATATTTGAAAACAAAACACCAATACTATGATAGAAATGGTTCTACTTAGAGCTAGTCTCTCTTGTAAAAGGCAAGGAAGTAAGCCAACCTGGAGCGTGAGGTAGTCAGCCAGGATCTGGATAGGATGGTACAAATCTGACAGCCCATTGACGATGGGAATGGATGCTTCTTTAGCCAGGATGTCCAGATCTGATTGTTTATACACTCGAGCCAACACTGCATCTGTCATGCTAGATAAGACACTGCAGCAAACAAAGAAAAGATTATCTAAGTTAATTATGCTTACTAATTCCTTCTTTAATACAGAATCTTAAACAGTAATAAGAAATGCTAATAAATTGGAAGTTTTACTAAGTTACAACTACCCATCACCACAACAGATTTAAACAATAATATTAAATGCGTAGTCATTACAGAAGCCAAATTTGTTCCACTGATGTCATAAATAGTGACCACTAATTTTACTATTTTTTAGAAATAAGAAATCAATTGTGGGACTTGCAGTCATAGTGATGAATTATCTATATATATAAAAGCGTAATATGTAAGTCGATTGGACAGAGGAATGACCAGTCGCTAGGATGCACACTGACCACCAGGGGGCAGATGCTCAATGCAGGAGCTGCCCCCAGCCTGCAGGCTCCGATTGCCCAATGGGGAACGGGGAACTGGGGGTGGCAGTGGACGCTGACAGTGCCAGGCCAAGGTGGGTGCGAGCTACTGGGGCCCTGATCACCCCGCCAGTTGCCACATAGAGGGCAACTGGCATTGGCAGTGGGGGGTAGGGCCAGCTGCCGGCAGCTGGGGAAGGTTGGCCCTGATCACAGGCCAGGCCTAAGGCCCCTACCTGTGCACGAATTTCATGTGACAGTCCTCTAGTAATTATAAGTAGCAGTTGGTAAAGTTAACAGAGAAAATACCCAAAAGAAGATATACAAAGAAATATTAATGACCTGGAATGAAGCTAATTTTCTTTTGCACCATCCCAGAGATAATTATACATTTTCACTATCAAATTAAAAGTACCAGTGTGGTAGCCATGGAGGTGCACACACAGATTGCCTTACAAGAGAGAACCTTCTGGGAAGAGTGACATTAGCTAACAGCCCTAGATGCTATACCTTCAGATCCCCAGGCTGTTCCCACCAATGACTGAGCATTGTGGGGGTGTGAGAGGTGGGCCATTCTGCCTGACAGGACACTTTTCTGATAGGCAGTCAGAAAAGTGAGGCTCCTCATCAGCCTGGCTGAGAATTCCTCAGAGCTGCACTCTGATATTCTTTCTATCCTACTCTTTCCTTCCTTCTCTCCTTTCACTGGGGTCAGACCTGCATCACCCCTAAAGGCTAATCCTGCTTCCTCTCCCCTTAATCTTTTACAATTGTTTCCCCAATACATCTCTTGCATGCCTAATTCCATCCAGTAAACTTGAATTGACACAGCCAGCATTTAGCCCTTGTCCCTGCACTCTGGTTAGTTATCAGCATCTCTGCAACATCATACAACACACACACACACCCCTACCAAGAAAGCAACACAAATAAACTCATGGCCACAAATTCAAACAATTCATTGAAAGATGGATATTATCATTTTATAGCTGAAGGACCTGAGACATAGAGAGCTGAACTAACTTGCCCTGAATCACACAGCCAATGAAGTTGGAGAAGTTCAGATTCAAATCAAAGTCAGTTCAACTCAAAAGTTCATGTTCTTACCATTACAACACATGACCTCAAATTTGCAGATGAATTGAGTTAAAATCTTGTTTTTTTATTTACGAGAATCCCTCAAAACAGAGGCTTCTAATGATTTCAGTTTTAAGAAACGATTCTTAATTTCTTAATGACAAAAAATTTTAGAAATCCTCATGATAGCATTTATATCAAACATAGAGTCATTATTATAAGGTATTCAGTTAGTCTTGGATTCTAAATCTAACTGTAACTTAGTAGCTGTTTGGCTTTGGACATTTTTTTAAATTTAACTATCGTTTAGTTTATTCATCTGTAAAACCATAATAATAATATCTCCCATTGGGTTATTGTTAGTATTATCTGAGATAACCCATATAAAATGCATGGTCATAAAGAAAAAGCAAATAAATACATATATGTTAGTATCTTCACTCAATAAAAGAACATTTTGAAACCAAAAAAGGTCTGAATGACCTAATCTCAACGAATGATCCTTGAAATTGAATTAGCTTTATAAAATTCAATAGATTGTCTTTATTTTTATTTGACCACTTCTGATGAAAACTTCCCATGACGGGCATCAATGGAAGGGTCAGGTTTTGGGAACCAGTGCTCTGAACTATCTAAGCAACCCCCCCACACCCACCAAAAATCAAGTGATGGAAGCCCAGAAAGACAGAAGATTTTGTACATAATGTCATTGGCAGGGAGTGTTTTCCAATTCAATTGAAGGAAAAAGGGCATCTCAAATCCTAAAAAATGAATAATCTACTCCCTTCCATAAGGCCCCCTCCTTAGAATAATCAGCACTCTGACCTATTGGACGCCCTAAGGCAATGGTTTGCAAACTACTAAGCTCCTGAAATAGGGTAGAGTTTGTGTCTTTTTACTCTTACCAAGTTTCCCAAGTAACTCAGATAACCTTCCAAAGTTAGAGAACCACTGTCCTAAGACATAGGATAATATGTTAAAAGAATTTTAAATTTTTACTTCTTTCTTCAAGTTCTTAATAAATATTCCCTTCTCAGTTCAGGTACTGATGCTTCATACTATAGAATGCAGGTTTTTAACTTTATTATAGGAAAGTAATGTGGATGGAGGTAGATAGCTGAAAAAAGGAGATGCTAGGGGACCAACTGGAGAAATCAATGCTCTATATACATGAGATAGCCCAAAACCTCCTAGAACAGAGATCCTCATATTGGGTGTATATTGGTATCATCAATAGAGCTGTAAAAAAATCCTGATGCCATATTCTGCCTTTTGGAGGGTTAAATCAGAAGTTATGGTGAAGGATTCACATCAATATTTTTAAAGCTCCCCAAGTTATTCCAACATAAAGACAAAGCTGAGAACCATTGTCCTAGAAATATAGATAGAGACAGGGGGAGGGAGGAAAGGGGCTATTCTAATGCTGAATGGAATAATGGGTCAATGTATAGGAGGAAATTCTTAGCAGTTACTGAAATTACATATTATAAGAAAAGTAAAAATAACAACATGTGTTTTACTGAAAAAAATGAGATCTTATACACTTGTAATAGAAGTACTGTATTTTCCTTTCATCTCAGTCACTACCAACAAAAATCCCATTGAAGTCACAATACCTATTATCTTTTACCCCAACACTTGTAAGCATCTCTAGTGCCCAGATTTTGATCTTACTACTGTTTTATAAGAAAAACCAACAACCCAGAAACCATTAGAAGATATTCAATTCCAAGTCCTTGGGCAAGATAAAATCAGTATAGTCTGTATACTGATGCTGCCAGAAGCAAAAGTAATTTTTAAAATGGCAGGGGCATTTCTAAAAAGTAAAAAGAATCAACTTAAACGGAATCCCATTATCAAGTTGCGATCATTAAATGAAACAAGGTATGGCTGTAAAAGGCCATGTTGCTCACAAGGAAAGAGTAACAATAAATTTACAAAAATATAATTCCAATATCAAAGAAGGAAGACTATTACCATGCACATTTAAATTTATTTTTTTAATGTAGGAAAGTGTTTATATATAACTATCTTATATAATAAAAACCTAATATGCTAAGCGTCCAGTCGTCTGGTCGTCCATTCAACCAATCAAAGCATAATATGTTAATGATATGCTAAGGCTGCTCAACCACTCACTATGACATGCACTGACCACCAGGGGGCAGACGCTCCAACTGGTAGGTTAGTTTACCGTTGGGGTCCGGCCAATCAGGACTGAGTGAGGAGTGGGCCTAAGCCATCAGTCAGACATCCCCCATGGGCTCTCAGACTGCGAGAGGGTGCAGGCCAGGCTGAGGGTGCATGAATTTCGTGCACTAGGCCTCTAGTATAAACATAGATATTTTGGGGGTTTTTGTTATATATATTTCTGTTCATCAATTATAAATGTATACTCTTTTTAATCTGTGTAAATCACAAAGAATTAACATAACTTATAAGTCAAAGAATCCTAGAAATAGTAGAAACTACCATAGGTGGATAGGCCCACCAACATTTATGGTCTTATATAAAGTGAAGTACAAGAGTAGTCCAGCAGTTAAATAGTACCTGTTGCCATATATAATTTACAATTACAAAGATAATACAGCCATTCATTCCAAAATTCTAACTTAGTTAACTGTCCTGAAGAAGAAATCTAAATTTTCAAACTCACTTTCCTATCTCTTTGGGCATCAAACCTTTTGATAACCCAACTCAGTATAACACAATGCCAATGAAAAAGGTATATATTTTTAAATATTTAAATACAAGTTAATATATCATGAAAATATTACAATGTATCATGTACTGCCACAGATTAAAACAAAAACAAGTTAAAGAATACCTCATCTTTTAATTTCTTTTGAAAACTTAGAATTTATATGAAAAATAGGAATAAGGACCTGTGGTAGACAGAATAAATCACCTCCCCAAAGATGTACACGTCCTAATCCCCAGAACCTATGAATATATTACCTTACATGGCAAAATAAATTTTGCAGATGTGATTAAATTAAGGGTCTTGAGATAGATTATCCTGGGGTGGGACCAATATAATTACAAGGTCCTTAAAAGAGAGAGGTCAAAAATGAGAGAAGAGGCTAGCTAGGAACATAACCCTATGGGTTCATTTTAGACCTCTGTCTGCCAGAATTTTGTAAGATATTTATGTTGTTTTAAGTCACTAATTTTCTGGTTATTTGTTAAAGCAGCAATTGCAGCCAAAACTGGTTTGGCTCAGTGGATAGAGCGTCGGCCTGCGGACTGAAAGGTCCCGGGTTCAGTTCCGGTCAAGGGCATGTACCTGGGTTGCGCACACTTCCCCAGTGGGGGATGTGCAGGAGGCAGCTGATCGATGTTTCTCTCTCATTGATGTTTCTAACTCTCTATCTCTATCTCTCTCCTTTCCTCTCTGTAAAAAATCAATAAAATATATTTAAAAAAAATAAAGCAGCAATTGCAAATCAATATAGAGCCCGTGATAAAAAGTCAAAACTATGTGATAAAAATATTTCACCTTAGGCCAGCACCTTGAGTTTCATTCATCTTGAAGTTAGGAACCAATTCCCAAA